GCTGAGCGGGCGGCCCCCGCGGCGGTCGCGCCCCGAGGAGCCCCGGCACCCACGGGCCTGCCCCGCGGGGCCCCCGCCCGCGCCCGCGCCGTACCTGTCCCGAAGCGCCTGCCGCTCTCGTCGGCCACGTCCAAGGATCCGAAGTCCTGGTCCTCCATGGCCGCCGCGGGCTGGGGCTCGGAGGCAGCCGGGCTGGGCGGAGGAGGCACGTCGGTCGGGCGGTGTGAGGCGCGCGGAATGGGGAAGAGGCGCGGGGCGGCGCGGCGCGGCACGGGGAGGGGGCGGCGCGGGGGCGGCGCTGAAGCGGATCGCGGGGCGCCACCCGCGCCCAGCGCCCCCGGCCAGCCGCGTCGCCCGCCAAGCCCACGCCCGCGGGCCGACACGCGTGGGATCAAGCGGCGAGGCTTCCTTGGACGCGCAAGCCGTCAGTGCGCAGCGCGCCGAACTCACTCCGGGCTCGTTAGCGAGGACGGCTCCGCTACGGCGCATCCAGAGGGTCCCCCTTTCAGGCAGCCTTTAAGCCCGATTATGCAGTGGCGCAAGAGAGGCGCTTCGCTCATGCTCAGAGGCACGCCCGGAACCCCCCCCCTCAGGGGGCGCACCGGCATTCCCTTCTCCTCGCCCCTGGCCTCGTGGCGGGGTCACACCTGCCCCAACCGCAGCCCTTCTCCCCCCATCTCCGCCCCCCAGGACCCACGCCTTGGCTGCTTACTTGACAACGGAGGTGGCCATCTCCAGCGCTGGCGGACGCCCGCCCGACTCTCTCCTGCAGCGGGGCCGGTTGTGCCGCGCGCTCCGGGGGGGCGGGTTGCCAAACAGTCGAGCTGAGCAAAGTCTGGACTGCCCAAGGTCCCGCCTGCGGACGGATGGATTTCCTGGCTGAGGTCAGCCGTGCCACCTCCCTGGCAGGCCTTCGTGCGTGCCTTCCCTGGAAGTCTGGGAGGGGCTGCCCTGAGCAGATCTGGCCTGCATTTGGGGGGGGGGGGGGGCACAGGCCCGCCTTCTACCTCCCCTTCTGAGCCTCAGGCAGATGCCTCACACAGAGACCCCACGGCCTGGTTCGCCCCTGCACGCCGCCCGGGATCCTGCCCCCCAGGAACCTTTGCTCTGTCAATATTCCCTCTGCGCAGTGGATCAGAGGGAGAGTTTTGCAAAACACCCTCCCTAGAACGGTTTTTGGAGGGGGGGTGACTCCGGGGGCACCCCAGGATGTAGCCTTCTCCAGTTTGGAATCGGAAAGCCTCCTGGCCCAAACTGGGACAAGGACAACCAGCAGGAGAGGAATGAAGAGCCAAAGCCGGCACCGCCGGGGCCCGAGGGCTGCCTGGGCGTCCGTCCAGTTTAGAGTCCAGTTCAAATCAGTTCAAAGAAACAAACCTTGTCAGCAGATGCACCTCGGACCCCCCCCCCCCCCCCCCCCAGCTCCAGGCCAGCCCAGGCCCGCGCCTTGCGGGCTGCTCTCCAGTCCTTATGCCTGGTGATGTCTCGAGGCGTGTGGGGCTGCAGCCCCCTCATTTCCCAACCTGCTCATGGGAGCTGGAGCCCGACACTCCTGCAAGCAGCAGCTCGGCTTCCTCAGGACGCCGCTCAGATTTCATTCAAAGACAGGGAGCGATTCCCAGCCGTCTTCCGACCGATCGGTTCCATCCGCCAGCCGACGAACCCAGGACCAGCCTCCCAAGGCCATGGGAAACCCCAAGCCCCTGGTGCCACGCTCGGGGACACATGCCTGGCCACCCCGGAGAGGCGCGCACCTTCCCAGCGCGCCGATCGGAGGAAGGGCTGGCACTGCTGCGGGCACCGGGTTCCCTCTGAGGGCTTGCCAGGAAGCAGGTGGAGACGCACCCTCGCCACCTTGGTTGTGCATGTGCCATGGCACTGAACAGGTGTGTCTGGGTCGCTAGTCCTCATGAAAGTATCTTGGCCATGGGTGGTGTGCGCTTTGTGTTCCTTATGCAGCCCTACGTATGTCTCCTCGGAAACAAAGGTCACCACAGCTGAGCCTAGAAAACAGGCGAGTGAGGGAGGCTCGGTGGAGGCGCTGGGGGCAGAAGAGGGGAGATGTTCCGTCCCCTCCCCCATCCTTCTGGAGCCCGGGGCGGGAGGGCGGGTGGGCAGGCGGGCGGGCGGCTCTTCTTCCCAGTGTCCTGAAGCGACAGAACCTGTAGCCACGCGCGCAGGGGAACAGGCTGGGCCTGATCCAGCAGGGCTCTTCTGCTCCTGAGGGCTGTCGCACCTACAGGATTGCCGCCTTAAAAGCCTGCTGATTCCACGCTGCAACCAACGGCCGGCCGTGTCTTCTGAGTTCCTCGCCTCTCCCCTCATCGAGCCCTTCTTTCCGGCCGCCACGTCGTTGTTGTGCGGGGCACTTCCAGCAGCTCTGGGCAGGGCGAATCCGAAGGCAAGCATCGCACTCCCCTTCCGCCGGGAAAAGCTTTCCCTGACGAACTTCCACCTGTCGCTCCTCTGTGAGGCACGGCGGGGACTCGGAGGGGGCGGGCCCGGCCAGGTGCGCGGGCGGGGCAGTGAGGGGCCAAAAGGGAGGGCGCGCAGCTGCGCTCCATCCCAGTGGGTCCCAGCACTGGCCATGGGGCGAAGGGCCGGGGTGCGCCTCTTGCTCCTGCCGGGGCTCCTGCTGGCTCTGCTCTGGGCACCCTGCGCGGGGGGCCCGGGCCAAGCCCGCCCCCACGCGGGGGCGGTGGCGGTGACGTGCGAGCCGCACCGCATGGTCGTGGCCGTCCACCGGGACCTCTTCGGGGGGGGCCGGCTGGTGGCCCCCGCCGACCTCGCGCTGGGGCGGCCCCGCTGCCCGCCTGCCTCCGTCGACGCGGGCGCGACCGTGGTGCGCTTCGAGGCCGGCCTTCATGAGTGCGGCAGCACCGTGCAGGTAGCCCTCGCCCGGGGGGGGGGCTGGGAAAGCCCCCGCGGGGCTCCCCAGGCTGGGCGCACAAGCTCGGCGGCCCAGGGCCGAGTGCCCCCGGCGAGGAACCAGGGGCGGCCGCCTGGAGCAGGAGGGGAGGACCAGCCCCCCCTTCCCCAGCACCATGATCATTCGGCGCAGTCCTCCCCAGTCTGGCACAAGGCGACCTGGGCTACAACGCCTAGCATTCCTGCCGCTGGCTCTGCTGGATGCTGGGCGCTGTAGTCCAACAGGCCTGGAGGAAGGCAGGTGCGGCTTCCGCTCTCCCTGCGGAGGAAACCTTCGGGGGGGGGAGCATTCAACGGCCGGGAAACCATGGCATGATCGGGGTGGGGTGGGCATGGGGGTGGGGGCCCCGGGCTGGGGCTCAGAGGAGCCCTGCCCACGGCTCTGTCGGCTCCAGATGACGCCGACCCTGCTGATCTATCGGACGAGCCTCTTCTACACCCCGTCTCTCGCCTCCGGCCGGGTCATTCTCCGCACCAGCGCCACCGAGATACCCATTGAGTGCCGCTACCCCAGGTAGGGGGGGGGGGGCTGGCCCCGCTCTCCAAGAGCTCAGTTTGCCCAGGTGCGGCATCCAGAGGCTTCGTGCAGAGCGGGAGGGTTTGCCCCCTGCCCGGGGTCCCGGGGTCTCTGCTCTCGCCTGGGCGGCCCCCCGGGGTTGTGCTTTTTGCGTTCCGACCACAAAGCGACAGACAAAGTCCTCCGTGGAAGAGGGCTGGGCTCTGCCCCGAGGAGCATGCAGTCTGGGCCTGGCCGTGGGGAGGACCCGGGGCTGGCGTCCGTTTCAGCCGGGCGGGGAAGAGGCCCACGGAGCATTTCGGGTGGGGCGCCCTCCCACCTGCCCACAAGGCGGTGGTGCGCTTTGGGGAGAAGGCTCCTGCAGCACGCAGAGCAGAGGGGCTTCCCGGGGGCGTCCCGGGGGTGCTTCCCGCCTGGGGGCAGCAAGGGGGAGGCGGGTGGCGCTGCCTGGGGAAGGGCCCCTTCCGGCCGGCCGCAGGCGGTGGAGCTGGAGCAGAGGGCGGGTGGGGCGGGTGGCCCTGCGCGGCAGCGGTCCTCAGGCGGGTGCTGCCCCGCCGCCCAGCCAACACCCTTCCCTTCCAGGACAGACAACGTCAGCAGCGGAGCCCTCCAGCCGCACTGGGTGCCCTTCCAGGCAACGGCGGCGGCCAAGGCTCGGCTCGGCTTCTCCTTGCGGCTCATGAAGGGTGAGGACCTCTCTGCCTTTCCGAGGGGCAGCCTGCTCCCGGCGCCCTTCTCGGGCACGGTGCAGCCCCCATTGCGGGGTAGAACAGCCCCTCAACCCAGCGCCCTCTGGCTAACTGGACCGCAACCTCCATCATCCCCGCAAGCAGGCCGTTCCTCCCATAAGAAGGCTCTGAGCTCGGTGGTGAGCGCGCACTTGGTGTGCTCATGGTCCTGGGTTGGACCCCCAGCAGCATCTCTGGGGAGGGGAGGACTGAAAAGGTGCCGGGAAGCCAGGATCCAGTCATCGTGGATCATGCCAGGCCAGAGGGGCCGCCTGAGGGAGGCCTGGCTCAGCGAAAGGGAGCTTCTGCTGCTCCTCAGCTCCACAGGCAGCTTGGGAGCACCACGGTCCATCTACCCAGTACTCAGTCCCCAACAGGGGACAGCCAGGCACTCTGAGGGCCACAGCCCACTCCTGTTGCTTCCCTCAGCTCCTGACCAAGCAGGGTTTATTTAGCTGTGATGGTCACTACGGCTGCAGGTGGGACCCGTGCAGAGTCCAAGACCTTTGGCCCACCTTTCTGAGTGCTGTCGACCCCGACTGGCAGAGACAGCTCTTGGAGGGGTCAAACCGGGACCGTCCTGCGTGGAAAGGGGGTGCACAGCCTTCCGGGCAGCTCCTCCCCCGTGAGCGCTCCTGTGAAGCCGCTGGGACTCGGGACCCTCCCGCCCTCCTGGGGCGGCTGGCAGGGAGGGTGGCGCCACTCCACGTGGGGACTCCCGGGGCTCGGTCCCCCACCGCTGCAGCGCCCCAGCCTGGGAGGAGCGGCCTGAAGGGCAGATTCGCTTGGGCTGCGGCCCCACGCACGTCCTGCCAAGCATGCGGTGGAGAGCCCCCCGCGGGCAGGTCTCCTGGAGTCCCGGGAGACCCTTCTGGTCGCTGACAAATCCTCCCCGCACCCTTTTGCTCATAGCACACGCGTTCGGGGGGGCTCTGGGGAGCCCTTCCTGTGCCCCCTCCCAGCTGATGGGCCAGGTGTGAAGCACGACGGAGGCGCCCGGCGTCCCGGTGCAGCGCCTGTTGGCCCCCGGCTGGGGCCGCGTGACGCATCTCCCTCTCTGGCCCAGATGACTGGAGTGCGGAGAGGACCTCCGCCCTGTTCCAGCTGGGCGAGGCCCTGTGTGTGCAAGCTGAGGTCCTCGGGGACGCCCCGCTGCCCCTGCGGCTCTTTGTGGACCACTGTGCTGCCAGCCTGAGCCCGGACGCCTCCTCGGGGCCCCAGTACGCCATCGTTGCCTCCAGCGGGTAAGAGCAGGGCCTTGCGCTGAGTTCCCAGGGCAGCTCTGCGGCCGGGCCAGCGTCCCAACGGGGTGGAGCGCGGCTCCTCGCTTCCCTGTCCCACGATCTGGAGAGAACCGGGGCGGGATTGGCCTGCCGTGATCGCCTACCCACGTGGCCCTGTGCCCCACTGCTGAGCGGGGGCAATTCCAGCTGGACGGTTGCCCCTTTGGGCACCTGCCCCAACCAGGCGGGCTTGCCAAACTGGGCGGCTACCGGCCCTTGTGCAAAAGAGCGCGGGACCGATCAGGTGTGCTTCGGAGCGGCATGAAGCCACCGCCTTCCCCCACTTGGCGGCCTCCAGAAATGCCGGACTACAACTCCCATATCTGTTGGCTGGGGGACTGCGGGAGTTGGAGTGCGTCGTGTCTGGAGGGCTCCAGGCTGGAGGAGGCTTCAAAGCAACTTGCTGCTAAGAGCATGAGGACGCGACTGGGGAAACATGTGAGGTGGAGAGGAGCCCTCCGGGGCCCATCCTCCAGCGACCCACTTCTCCGACAAAGCCCCTCCTCCGGCAGGTGCCTGGTGGACGGGAGGCAAGAGGGCGTCTCGTCCACATTCCTCTCCCCGCGGCCGCGGCCGGAGGCTCTGCGGTTCACCATTGATGCCTTCAGATTTGCAGGAGATCCCCGGAAAGTGGTGAGAATGACTTGTGAGGGCTGTGGTTGTGGAGGGACTTCCCGGACGGGTCCTTCCCGGCAAAGTGCGACGCTGAGGCAGAGGTGTGGAACGTCAGGGCTGTGGGCCAAATCCGGCCCGCGGAGGCTTCTCCGTGCAGCCCGTGGAGCTTCCTTGGCTTCTTCCAGGGAGCAGGGCTTGGCCTCCAAGCCCCACAGTGTGGTGGAGTCCCTGTGGAGGAAGGCCGGAGCGGTCTTGGAAGTGGCAGCATCCTCAGGCACCTGCGGCCCCCAGAGGCCTGCGACAGCCCCCGCCAAGTTGTCCTCCCCCCTCCCCGCCTTTCTCTTCTCCTCAGTCAGCACCGTTTTTCTGGCCCTGCTGCAAAGTTCGTTTCCGTGGGGTTGAAAGCTGCTTGGTGGGTTGTGGCTGAGACCCCATCTCAGTCTTTGGGGCAGGAGACTTGCCCTTAGTCCCACCCCCTGGTAGCCATTTTGTGGCAGTTTCTTAAGCTGCCCCGGGGGCCTCCACCCCACCAAGCTCGATTGAAGGAACCCACCCAGCTGTGTGGAAAGCTTTTGCAGAGAGAGACCCCCGAGCCTGAAGTCAGGGAAAGCGGTGAGAAGTCGGGGTGCTGGCGGCCAAGTGTCCAAGCCACGAACGTCAGAATTCGCGACGGGGGCGAGCGTCTCCCCCCGGGCTTGTGGTGCTACGGCCCAGCAAGAGCTGCGGCAAGGCGAGGCGAGGCAGCCTCCCTGCTCGGAAACCCACCCCCCACCCTCTTCCTCGCCCGCCCCCAGATCTACATCACCTGCCACCTGAAAGCTGTGCCGGCCGAACAAGCCCCGGACGCCGGGCACAAGGCCTGCTCGTTCGACGCAGAGAGGAGCGCGTGAGTGCATCAGCCCCCCCCCCCTTTGCCACTGCTTTTCCAGCAAACGGGACCCTCCCTGCGCCCCCCCCCATTAAGGCGGGCCTGCGTGGGTGCCGTCATGCCAGGTGCATCACGGGGAGGTGTGTGGGCTGTGCTTCGGGGGGGTTGCATCCCAAGAGGATGCTGGGGCGCCAGAGAGCTGCTTGTGGAGACGCCCTGCTGCAGTGGGGGGGCCTCCGTGAGGGACTTAGCAAGAGCACGTGCGCCGTGGGGCTTTATGGGGCAGAAGAGGGCCAGTTCCTGCCCTGTCTAAACCGTGGCACAGGGGAGACAGTGGAGGCGGGGGGGGGGGGCCCCCGGGGCCGGGCCAGGGGTAGCCCCGGGGTAGGCCCCCCCCCCCCCGCGGCCACCTTGAAAGGCCGTGCGGAGCTGCGGGAGGGGGCTTCACCTGGCACTGTTCTGCTTGGGGACGGGGACGTGAGCGGAAATATGACCGATGGAGAGAGCAGGGAGCGGGGGGGGGCTCTTCCCTCTCCGCCCCCCAGGCCGGCCCGTGGGGGGCCCAGGACAAGGGCGGGCCGCTTCACGCAGCCACCACAAGACACGCCACAGCCCCAGTGCGGCCGGCGTGCGAGGGAGAGCCGGAGGATCCTGCAGGAGGGCCGCCCACGATCCTGGACTCCTCCGGATCCCCGCTGCTGGGGAACATGGGCCGGAGGGTGCGGCTGCCCTTGTGCCCTGCCTGTGGCCACAGAGAGGCTGATGGGTCCGAATGCGGGATGGAGCCAGCAGGCCGCTTCTGTCCCCAGCTGCTCCAGGACGCAGGTCCACGCAGAGAGGCGGGGTGGCGGCGGGGGGGCAGTCAGGGGGCCAGGAGACCTTCAGACCATGGAGGGCAGGAGCAGGGCTGGATCTCCTGCAACCGGATCCGGGAGCTGAGGAGGGGCGGCTCTCGCGCCGTCTTCCGGAGGGTCTTGGGGGGCCGGGGCACGGCCCCACCTGCAGCACGGGCCGGGCAGCCTCCGCCCTGTGGGTCTGGAGCTCCGGCTGCGTGCTGTGGGGCGGCACGGGAGGGCCGGGGGGCGGGGGGGCCTGCCTGCTCCGGACGTGGCCCGTCTCTCGTGCAGCTGGCTCCCCGTGGAAGGCCCCCGAGGAGTCTGCAGCTGCTGTGAGACGAGGAGCTGTGGCGGGGCGGTGGGCGAGCAGCCCCTCGGCTTGGGCCCGGCCCCCGGCCCCCGGCGCCCGCCAGAGGAGATGAGTTGGCTGAGAAGCCTGCCAGGTAAGCGCCCCACCCGGCCTGCTGCCCTGGATGCGCTGGACCACGCAGCCCGGCATGTCCCAGCGGGCCCTCCAGGGTGTGTCAAGCTGGAGCGTGCAAGGTCCCCCACCAGCTCCGGGAGGGAAGGAGCGGCCCGGGCTGTGCTTTGTCCAGCCGGCGCTTCCACCCCCGGTGCTGCAGCCCGAGCCCCCTGGAGGTGGGGGGTGGAGGGACGAGACCTCCCTCGGGGCCCGGCGTGCGCTGCCCCCTGCTGCCGGGGTGGCCACGGGTGGCTCGGCTCCCCTGCACAGCGGGACGCACAGGTCTCTCTTCCCCGAGTTCGGGTCTGGGTGTCCCAGCAGGGGGACGAGCTGCCCACTGGCCCCTCAAGGGTCACCCCTTCCCCATCACTGTCCCCCGAGCACAGTGGAGATGGCCGATCCCCAGGCGGACTTGCTGCTGGGTCCGCTCTTCGTCTTCGGCACCCCGGATGGCGCCGGAGAGCCTTTGGAAGACCCGGCGGACGCTGGAGACCCGGCGATGGGAACAGAAGGTAAGGGGGCATGCGAAGGGAAGGGGTCGCCTCAGACTTCCCCGGGATGCCCCTCGCCCCCTGCCCACCCCCGCCTGTGGGTTTCACTCCTGCACCTCTCTCAGGAAGCCTTCGCACAGGCCCCCCCCCCTGCCCCGCACCGGCTCCTTTCCGCAGACTTGCATTTGGGTCCACTCACTTCTCATTCCCGAGCCTCGGTTGTGTTGCTCGCGCATCCGGCTGCCTCCGTGAGCTCTCCGGACAGCAGAGCACCGAAGGGACCGGCCCGGTGGCTTCCCGATAGACTGGACTAGGCAGCCAGCCTGAGCAACAGCCGTGCTGCTGGGGAAGAGGGGAGTTGTTGTCCAGCAGGTGCAGCGGGCACCTCCGCAGTGCAGGGGGCGTTGAGGGGCGTGTGGCTGGGGGCCGGGGGGGCAGCTGTCACGGGCGATGCTTGCGGCCCCGTGTCTATTGAATGTGCTTTATCCTTTGCGTTGGAGCCCATGGCGGCCTCACGCCAGGAGGAGGGGGCTCGGTTTCGTGGTGCACAAGCCCCTTCCCCTGGGCCGAGCTCGGCCGTGACCAGGACCCCCACAGGGGAGTGGGCAGGCACTTTATGCCCGAGGCCCTCTTAGCAGCAGCGGGATCTCCCGGCCTGGCGGGCCAGACCACGCCGCCCCGCTCTCCCAGCCCGCAGGCCGACATAACGCCCGGCCGGTAGCCCAGCCAGCTGCCTGGCATGGCGCCTGCCCCTCCGTCCAGTCCAGTGTCGCCAACACTGACCGGCAGCAGCAGCTCTCCAGCGCTTCGGGAAGGCGCTTTCCACATGCACGGCGGGCGTGAGCTGCTTACAGCGCCCAGTGGCGCCCGCAAGGTCTGAGCGGCTTTTCCCTGCCCCTTTGTCCAACGAGCCCTGCCCGAGTTGCCCCCCTGCGCCCACCCGCGCTCGCCAGAGGCGATGCCCCCACGCCCAGGGACCACGCACAGCTTGGCTGCCCCTCGGGCTTCTGAACGCTGGAGCATCGCTGCTCACGCCCCCCCCCCCGTGCCCCCCATTCATGCCCTGCATGGCCTTCAAGGGGCTTTTCCTTGCCAGACTTCTGCTTTTTCGAAGGAAAGGAGAAATGAAACTGAAAAGGCCAATGGAAAAATTTGCCCGCGAAGCTCTGGGGCTCCAAAACCAGAGGCTCCAGCACAGGCCGGGTTCTTGGAGAGCGGAAGCGTGCGGCTTCCAGCGTGGCCACTTCGGGGAATCCAGTCCACGAGCACACGCTGGCCCTGCTTGGGCGCAGGCAGGCAGCAGGCAGAGGGCACCAGGCGAGGCGCCGCAGAAGGCGTGGATCCGCCGCGCTCCCGGGCTGGGCGACCCGCTTCCCAGCTCTGCCTGCTTGAGCCCCCTCCTCTCTCTGTGGGCCTCCCAGGTCCAACCAGAGAGTGGCGGTGCGAGGGCAGGGACCCTCTTTGCGGGCACTGAGCAGTGCGCCTGCTCGCCTGGTGACCGGCCTGGCTGCCTGTGGCTGCTGAACTCACCGGGCTCGGGTTCCGGGAGCACCTCTCGACAAGGGAACACCCCCTCCTGCAGTGGGGCTCCCCCGACCCACGCAAGCGAGGGCTGGCGAGGTCTTTGCCCCTGCGCGGAACAGCTTCCGCCCCACAGCTCTTGGCGGTCCCGGGATGCCGTTCCTGCGGGCGGAAGCATCACGACGCTTTGCTTCTTGATGGTGTTTTGGGGTGTTTGGGGGTGCTGCCTTTGGCAGCAATGGTCTGCATCTCTGCCGCAGGACCCCCCTCGCGAGTCCACACAAATCGACCCTGGCGGCGTTCAGACAACAAAGCCACTCACATCTGCGGGCTGGGGTGGAGGAAGCAGAGAAAATTCTGGCTGGGGTAGAGGAAGCAGAGCGGGGGTATTCCTCTGCCCCCCCATAATACCAGCCCCCGGGGTGGCAGCCACGAGGCTGATGGGTGGAGATGCAGCTGAGGGGAGGGCGTCTTCACACACGGTTCCCGGGGGAGGCTTCGGTCTCTCAGTGCGCCAGGTGCTGGGGAACATGGGCACAGTAGTGCCGATGCACTCACTGCTGCTTGCAGGGCAGCGGGGTGAGAACAGAAGCCCGGATGGAGTGGACTCCCCTTCCCTCCGCCACTGCCTGGCCGATCCGGCCCCGGAGCTCTCCTGACCTGCTTAAACCCAAAGTGGGGGAGAGCTGTCCCCAGAGCTGGCAGGTCGCGGGAGCAGGTGCGGCTGGGCAGTCGAATCCTCTGCAGGAGCCGCCTTCCCCAGGAGGGGTGGGAAGGGCCAGCCGGCCTCTCTGAGCACCGGGTGGCTCAGCCGGGGCTGCCTCTGCAGGTAGGAGCAGGGCCACCGACAGGGCTAACATCCGAAGTCGGGGGACCAGTGCCTGCCCCACTTTGGAGGCCCCTGGGTGGACCCCCCCGAGGGCCACCCCGCAGTGAGCCCCCCCTCCATCCCTGGGCGCCCCCTCGTAACGGCTGCGAATTGCTGGGCGGGCAAGGGGCGCAATCGTCTAGGCAGAGCAAGGGGCTGGGGGGGAGGGGGGAGCTGCCCCAGGGGTCCCGCAGGGCCCCCGCTGAGATGCGAGCCCCCCCCGCGCAGCCCTCGAGGACCCTCTTCCGCCAGCCCGGTGAAGCAGCCCCCGTCTCGCACCCCCCGCAGGGCTCAGCAGGAGCGGGCCCGCCCTGTCCGGGGAGGCAGAGGAGGGCTCCGGCTCGGGGGATGAGGACCGCCCGGCCACAGCGGGCACGCGCCTTCTGCAGGAGCTGCTCCGGAGCGGCCCCGTCGCGGGGCACGGGCGGCTGCGAGCGGAGACAGGTGAGCCCAGCGGGAGACGCGCGGCAGCAGGGCCACTGGGGAGCCCGGCACGGCCTTCCCCGGCCCCCGCCGGCTGTGCCCTGCTGGCTGGGGTGGTGGGAGCTGTCGTCCAGCACAGCCAGAAGGCGCCGGGGGGGCTGGGCCCGCCACTCGTGTCCTGCAGAGCTTCGCCTTCGAAGGTGGACTGGACCCCGAGCGTTTCTCCTCCGCAGGCAAACAGAGCACGGCCTTCGAGCTGCAGGCAGCCATCCTATCCAGGTTCCTCGAAGCCCTCACGACCCCTGGCACCGAGGCGGCCCTGGAGGAGGCGGCCAGCACGGGGGCAGGCGAAGGTGAGGGACTGGCGGCACCCTCCGCCCCGGCTGGGGCCAGGCTCCCGGTGGCTTGTGCACTGGCTGTGGCCGCTTGTAAGGGAAGACATTCTGCCCAAGCTCAGGAGTGCCCTTGGTACCCCGGGCAGAGCCCAGCCTCGGTCACGGAGGGGCTCAGCCTCGCATTCCGGAAGAGAGGGTCACTCGAGCCTCCATCACGGCCCCCCTGAAACCCCACCCCTGAGCAGGCTGCCCCGCACAGGAGGCAGACGGGGAGGGCCACCCCTCCCTCCACCAGCTCCGCCTGCCCGGTGGCCCAGGAGCCCTTTCTGGGCCGCGACAGTGGCGAGGGGCTCCCCCCTTCCGCAAGGGCACGGGGGCAGCCCCGTGGGCCCAGCGTCCGGGAGGCACGTGCCACCTTCTCGCGACCGGCCGGCCCTCGAAGCCGCCTGCTGGGCACACCTCCTAGCGCCCTGCCTCCAGAGAGGTGTTTGGTCCTGGCAGGCCAGAACCGGGTCGCCTGGCCCTCCCCACCCGGGACCCCCAGAGGGGCTGGCCTGCAACACCAGCATGGTCGCTGTCCACAGGCGCTGCACTCCACCCACTCTGGCTGGGGGAAGTCCGTGCGGGCCGGCCCGCCTTGTCAGGCTGTGGTTCAGCTCCGAGCAGGCAGGCCCCCAGCAGGTGTGTGTCGCACGATCGGGGTTCAGACGCGCAGCCTGGCCCAGACTCGCCTCTCCCGCCCTCCAGGTGCAGCGCAGCCGCCGGGGCCAGCCCTCGCCCTGCTCCTCCTGGCGGCAGGGCTGACGGTCAGCTTGCTCGCGGTGGGCGCCTTCATCCTGGCGCGGAGGTGCCGCCGTCGTCAAGGCTCGGCGCTCTCTCCGTCTTCGCTTGGCACGAAGCTTTAGCATCCTCTGTACAGCCTAAACCGAGTAAAAGGTGCCGCATCCTCCCCGTGCGCGTTGCCGCCTGCTCACTCCGGGGTTTGGGGGGGTGGGGGGGCTCCGCTGCAGGAGTCCTGGAACTGTTAGACCCGAGATGCCCTTTCGCCAAACAAATGCTTGAGGCCTGTTCCGAATCTCACGGGTTGCCTGGGCTCAGACCACACCAAAATGTTGTGTACAGGTTAAACGTGGGCCTTGGCGACTGGTGAGCAAGACCTGAAATGTCGGTTATATGGAGAGAACCCAGCTGCAGTACGAAACCCTGAGAAACAACCCTCCACATGCACAACCCACCAACAGACCATGGGCTGTTCAAGGCTTGAGGGCAAGCCTGTTTTCCTGGAGAGCCCTGTGGGGCTGCCATTTTTAGCGGAGACTGATATTCTGGTTCTCGGTCCGTGGGACAGACCAGGGCGAGGAGGAAGCAACGGGCTGCGAGGAAGGACGGACTCCTGAGGCAAATGGCACGTTCCCCCGCCCCACACACAGACACACACGCTCCCGCCTGCCCACGTAGCCCACACAACCACCCGCACGACACCCGTGAGGCCAGGCTGGAGGCAGAGACGGCAATCGCTTCTGGAGGTCTTGAAACTTGCAATACAACTTAGACCTGACCTAACCTTTTCATTCAGAGAAAAGGCACCCAGTACAAAGCTGGACTGAACAGTACATTCATGAAACCTAAAGTATAAGTGCTTCATTTGCCTTCAGAGAAATGTATGGGTTAGATATACTCCTGCAGGTTCAGGTCGTTTGTAGGGTGAAGGAAAAGAGAAAATGAAAGGGAAATCTCGGCAGGCTAAATGCGAAGGGAGCTGTTATGCAGGCTGAGAAGTAATCGCTTCCTTTAGCAAGCATTAATTGGAGGGGGAAAGCGTTTATGGGAACACCTCTTGAGCAGAGATGGCAGTGCCATGAATATAGGTAGCAGCAACGGAGCCTGTGCCTGGGGAAGAAAAAGGCCCCAAGACCGCAGGCCTGCGCAAGGCTTCATTGGGGCATGAAGGAAGCGGAAGATTGTTTTCTGTCTCCCTGTGGACAGACTTGCATGGGGCTGCTGTGAAAATAGCCAACTACGTGATCGGTGTATTTAGGAAAGGAATGGCAAAGGGCAGGATCATTCTGCCCAGGCAGCTGCCCTTGGGATACTGGGGACGTTCTGGTCATTACACTGAAGAATTGGGACCGCAGAGTCGAAAAAGGGCAGACGAGGGCAACTAAATGACCCCGGGCCAGAGCAGCTCCCCTTTGAGGAAAAGTCGCGACAGCCGCGGTGGTTCGGGCATGAGGGGAGGCGGAAGCGGAGAAAATTATTCCTGGGGTGGGGAAAGTAGACACGTTGCTCCCCCTTTCGTGGCACCATATGCCAGCAGGGCCATCCCATGAAGCCAATTTGCAGGAGATCCTTGCACAAGTAGATCCTTGCACAAACTTTTCTCACATGGCACAAACTGTGGCCTTCAGTGCCACAAGACGCTGTGATGGTAACCCATCTGGACATCTTTAAAAGGGGACTGGAGACATTTGTGGAGAGGGCAGCTATCAAAGGCTGCTAGTCCTCATGGTTCTGTGCTACCTCCTGCATTAGAGCCGAATGCTTCTGTGCACCGTGTGTGGCTGGGGAACATGCCCTCCTGCCTTGCTGGTCGACCCCAATATGTGGGGCTAGGTCAAGCCCAGCATGGCTGCGCTTAAGCTCTTGTTCTCCCCATGCACTGTATCGATCCTTCCAAAATACGTGCACAAGAGGGAGGAATCGGCAGCCTTAGGGAACCGCTGGAGCAGAGGTATAAGAAATTCTGAGAAAAGCCCTCAAGCGTAAGGACATTTCGTGGTCACAAAATGCTGACACTCGGAATTTCTTGTTCCTGTGAAAAACAAGATTTGCGTAGTTCCCTTCCTGCCGTTCCGTGGGTGCATGGAATGGAGTATTCTGAAAGAAGGCACGGCTGGCTAAAAGCTGGAAGGCGGAACGGAGCGCCCTCCCGTGCTGCGCCTGATGCAGCTCTTCTAGCTGCTCTGCCATCATAGATTTATTTTTCTGGTTAAAAAAAAAGATGCGAGTGAAAACATGGGAAGGCTACAAATGGAACGTGACATCTGAAACTCCTCTTCCCAAAAATACGCTGTGAATGAGACGGTGCAGCTGCATATGAAAAGCCGCCCGTGAGAGAGCACCAAGCACGTGCCGAGCTGTTGGCCAATTTCCTGTCATCTCAGCACACGATTCTGCGGAAGCCCCGGCTGACCTCCACCAAGAAATGCCCTGTGACCCAGTTTGCAGCACACGGCACTGACGACTCCCAGGCTGCTCGTTCCAGGAGCTGGGAGCGGGGAGGCAAGCGTGTGGCTGTTCTCCCGTGCAAAAGCAAGCAAGGTGCCGTTTAGTGGGGGAAATGGGAAAACTGAGCCCCCCTGAGCCTTTTTCCTCTGGATGCATTCAAAACTGGAGAGCGTTGTGAGCACCCTGGACCGACAGGAAGACGAGCAAGTGGGTCACACGTCCAGTCAGGCCAATACTTTCCTTAGAAAGCAAAAACGACAGAACTGAGGCTGTCCTATTTTGGGCACATCACGAGGAGGCCAGACTCCCCGGAGACCGTCATGCTGCGGAAAGTTTGACTCTGGAAAGGAGGCACAGCGTTGAATATACAAGCGCTGAGCAAGGTGCTGAGCAAGATGGTGAAAGGGAATCCCGCTTTTGAAGCCCATGCCAATGGAGGCTCGGATCCACAGGAAGAGCTCTGTTAGGAACCTCTGTGGTTTTATTGGTGAGAACATCCAGAAAGACCGCTCTGAAGAGACAAATCTACCACAGTTGGGTAAAGGTGTACAAAGCAGTTACAAGTTCCAGAAGTTATTTATTAGAATTTTCGTATTACATAAAATGAACGTAATACAAATAAAATCCAGATTCACCCTGGCTGCAAATTAAAACCTATAGATATTAAAAGTTATTAAAATAGTGTTTAAAGGTCTTAGCCTGGCGCCAAAAAACAAATAATGACGGCGCCAGGCGGACCTCTCTGGGGAGAGATCTCATGTACAGAGTGTTTTATAGGTTTTGAGTCACTACACAGGAGTGTAGGCAAATAATGGGTACATACAACAGATAATGCATCCATGAACAAAACAATGTGAAGAAACTGCAGAGGAGACAAGACAGAAGGGTACGGTGAGTATCAGTGAGTACAGAATATCGATACGGCAAAGAGAAAAGTACATGACTCTTAACAGGGTCCAGGTGGGGTTACCGGCATGCAAGGAAGCTAGTCAGGGCCAATTGGTGCAGCCCAGATTATAACAAAACAAAAGTCTCAGGGCAGTGAAATGCGAACGATGCAACACGCTTAATTTCGCCACTCAATGCAGCCGCGTGTCAGTCTCCGAACGGGACAGAGGAATGATAGAGAGTCTCAGGAAACGAGGAGCCTGGCTTGGAATTGCGGTTCTTTCTGGGGAAACGGAGTCGGGACACTGCAGGGCTGAGGCTGCGTCCCGAAGGCGCATTTGGCAACCTTCCTCTACAAGATTTCCCTGGATTCGCCCAACGGCGCTGTCGACGGGCAGCTGCGGAAGGCCTCCGGGCACGCGGGCGCCATCAATTAGCCAGGGCGAGCAAGGAGGGTCTTTGTCGTTCAGTCGCGGCCGTGCCCGACCCTTCACGACCCCACGGACAGCGCTCCTCCAGGCTCTCCTGGGCTCCGCCGGCCCTCGGAGTCCAGCCAATCGCACACGCAGCGCTCCATCCCAGAACACGTGAACAAACGCAACCGGGGGGGCCACTGAGCACGTGCAAAGTGCGCTTCCTTCCGTGCTGAGAAGGGCGGAACACGCTCTGTTGCCACACACGGGAGGCTGGGTTTTCCGCCTCCTCGGCATCAGCCTTGTTTTAAATGGTTGTTTAGTCGCGAGGTCGTGCCCGACCCTTCACGGCTCCGCGGACGACACGCCTCCAGGCCTCCCTGCCCGCCGCCCTCCCTCGGCGCCCGCCCGAGCCACACGCACTGCCCCGGAGAGCCCATCCAGCCAGCTACCCCACCCTCCATCATCCCCTTCGCCTTTTGCCCTCCATCGTCCCCAGCGCCGGCTCTTCTCCGGGGAGCCCTTCCCGCTCAGCAGGCGGCCGAAGCGCTCGAGCTCCATCTCCAGGATCGGGCCCTCCCGAGAGCAGCCGGGGTCGATCTCCCCCAGGACAGACCGGCGGGATCGCCTCGGGCCGGGGACTCGCGGGCGCCCCTCCAGCGCACGGCTCAAGGGCCTCGGCCCAGCTCCGCCTGCTCGGCACGGG